GGAAAGCACTCTGATGTGGAGTCAGCGTGAGACTCAAAAACACTTTTGCACAAAAACGTAGACTGCCATTTAGTCAGATGGTCATCAGCAGACATGCACAAATACAGGCGATCACTCACTCTCTCACACACACACACACACACACACACACACACACACACACACACACACACACACACTCATGACCCACATTGACTTGTGCCACAGGTACAGCACTCTCGCTGAAGGACATGAGGGTTATCCACATGGCTCTGTGGGTAATTCTGTGAATTCATGGTCGCTACATTAGTGCTCTGATGTGCTCGCTGTGAGCACGACAGAGAGAGAGAACATGGACTCATGGCCGCGCACCATCCCTCTTCCACAGACAAATGGCTTGCAGCCAACAGCCAAGTATATGGAACATGAAACACATGATAAAACATGCAATTAAGAGCTTCCGAGCTGCTGTGGAGACCGCTGGTTACATATTTCCTTACTGATTAATGGAGGAGCATTGGAAAGGGAAAGGGTTAGAGAACCCGCCAGGAGTGTTGGGTAACGAGGCATGGTGGCAGATTTATGTCTCCTTCGTCCCCTCCCCCCAATCTGATGTACCCATGACAAAGTGCCGTTAGCCGTCCCCCCATCCCATCTCCTTGAAATGTCATTACATGTTCACATGTAGCAGGTAAGCAGAAATGGAACGAAGATGGGCATTAATGCTAATGAGAACTGGGCTTTGGCCTTTTGTGTCCACTCCCAAAGGCCTCCTTCCATCATTCCATTGCCCGAGTCCATATCCCAATCCCAAACATCTCGATTGTTCAACTGGACTCTCTTCACATGCATAGAAATGTACCACTTCTTCTTCTTCTCTTTTTTAACCTTTTAGCAAAGCCCACATTTTATGACTCCTGCTTTCCACGCTCTTCCACTTTGTCTGTCGCCCCGCTGCCTGTGTGTCTGTGTGAGTGAATTACCTTCAGTCTGTCTTTTGGCAGTGCCTGGGCTCCTTTCATGATGACCTCCTGAACTCTCTCAACAGACAGGTCACTTCCAGCCTGCTCCAGACGCTGACTGAAGAAACCAATAACCTAAAGGTCAAACGGGAGGAAACAGCCAATCACAAACTTGCCATAGGGTCTTTTAGCTTGCCTTAAAGTGCTTTGAGGTGACTGTTGTTGTAATTTGGTGCTATAGAAATAAAATTTAATTGGACTGAATACAGTTGGAGTATTTAGGGGTAAACACAGAATTTAAATACAAATTACCACCAATACAGTGTCCTCAGTTTTTCATGTTTTGCCAGGAAAATGGGAAATAGGTGCAGTTATTTATTGAAATGTGCAAACATACATGGGAATATAGTATATAAGACAAAAGCACAGTTTGTATAATTCTTACAAGCTTGAAAATCAATATGTTGGTGCAAAAACTGTTATTTTATGCTTGTGAAACTACGCTATATCAGGCATTTTTTGTAGATTTAACTAAGGAAATGTGGGGGAATTGTGACAGGCTGCTAGTAACAGATTGTCTAAAGATATAATAAAAAAAAAAGGTTCTTTGCCAAGTTGTCTTCAAGCGTAGACACAAAATTAAGATGTCTCTTTTGTTTGAATGGTCATTGTTAAGTGTCTTAACAAAACATATGTGATAAAGCAGGCAGTGTCCAAAGCAAAATCCACTTTTTATCCAATAAAATAGAAGAAAATACAACTCGCTGATGAAATTTAACTCTTGTTGATTATCTCCTCAAAAATAAATGGTTATTTTAAAATATTTCTCGTCAGGTTTTGTGTTAATGCAGTTATTGATATCTTTGTTCCATTTTGTTCTACTTGTAAGTATAAATCAGCTGGTAGCATTAGCAAAAAATAAATAAATAAAAAATCAATATTCACTCTTGTCTGTGTTTCCTAATACACACACGGGACCTTGTTCTCATTGAGCTTTAATGTCAAGTCCCAGCTCCATCACGACCCTCTCCAACTCTTCTAATCCCTGTTTGGAGCTGTCACATTAATATTTCAGCAGCCACACCCGATATGATGACACCGGGTGCAATATGAAGATCTAGGAACAAAATGGCATCATGCTACACGCGTAGGCCTGAGAGACCTCAGCTGTGTAAACAACAACACTGGTCAGTGTTCCAAAGGTGGTTTGAACATGACGTTAGAGGAATCGGTGCTGAACCTACAGTACGTCGACAGCTCGGTTTCATTTAAGGCAAAATATTGCCGCTTCCATAAACGGCCATTTAAACACGTGCATGGGCTGCCATGTTTCCTAGCAACAGTAACTCGCTTCTGTAAATGCTTCTTTATAAGGATACAGCACAGCACACACTATTCAGATAAACCAGCCACATTAAGGCACCTACCAAATATTGGACCAGAAAAAACAACTCGGATCTGCAGTATCAGCTACCGTGACATGAGCAGCAGATCCTTTAAGTCTTGTAAGTTGCAAGGTGGGGCCTACGTGGATCAGACTTGTTTTTCTAGCACATCCCAGATATGCTCAGTCAGATCGAGAACTGGGGAATTTGGAGACAGAGTTAGTACCTTGAAGTCTGTTGTTGTATTCTTTAAATCTTAAACAAGCACTGCGGTGGGGCAGGGGTGCGTTAGCCTGCTGAGATGGGTTACTGCCACCAGGGGATACTTTTGCTTACTTTTCTGAAAAGGTGTATGTAGTGTGCAACGTGTTAAAGTATGCAGTAGGTGTACATTCCACATGCCAGGGCTCAACCTCTTGCAGCGCATCATGGTCCAGATCATCACACACGCTTTCCATAATGCTCTTTTGGTGCCATTTCACCCCAGGTAAAGGTTGCCAATACATGCACGGGTCTCCTTAAAGCTTTTTACTGTAAACATAGATCTGCACGTCTGTGACTTTGCCTCAAACTGGAGCGGACATTGTGCGCAGATGCCCCGGGCACCTTCTCAGTTTAGAGTGCCACGTTAGCACGACACTTCAAATAAACTGCAATCGTCCTTTCGATGGATGAGTCAGTCAGCTGACCTAAACCTAAGTTTCATTGATCGAGGGCTAAAAGGCAGAGAGACTTACAAACAAGCAGCAACTAAAGATGGCTGCAGTAAAGATGCAGCCGTGGACCACCCAGCATTTGGCACATATCCACGTGTTCCAAACCTCAGGCTTCAAGCATTAAAATAATCATTGTATTTATGATAGTGTATGTTTATCAAATTACACTTAAGCCTGTTAGAAGACAGACAAAAAGTGGCTATAATTGGAAGAATGAGTAGATTTAATTTTGGACTGGACTGGCTTGACTGGTGCCATTACAATGAGATGTTTAAAGAGTTGCAGCTGATCATAAATCGAGATGATTTGCAAAGCTGGGTGAATTCTGCTTATTGTCAGCGGGAAAAAAAACTTAGAAAATGTCAAAAACTTTTCATTTTAAATATGTAGTTCTCTGGAATTAAAAATTATTCAATGCTTTCTGGGTTTAGCCTCAAAGAAGAAATCTAAGAAAGTATTTTTTGTGTTTCCACTGCTCTTCTAAGTTTTTCCCTGAAGAAATGTTTGGTGTTCCTTAATTACAAAAAAAAGAACTATTACAAATTCCTTTTAAAGCTCTTTTTTGTCAGAGCAACATTAAAAAATGCTTCTACAGGCAGTTTTGTTTCTCAGTGTGGGCTGTTTTAAAGATTTCAAGCACACCAGAGTTCATGCACTATGTGTGTCTACATCTATCTAATACTAATCTCTTCATTAACTCAGAAGGCCTCCCCCATATGGGCTTATTTTAGAAGAGCAAAAAAGCCGCCTCGCATCCTGAATAGCCTCGGGGAAACTGACTTAACCGAGGGATTCTACCTAGGCATGCCTCCCTCATACTTATGGATAACTGTAAAAGCCTGTGGCAATGTATGCAGCAACCCCCATCCTCTGCACACACACACTCATACCCACCAAAGCTTTCTTTCCCTTCTCTACGTGACTGTGAATGACAGATTTCTCGTGTCCCTTCTTACTTATACACCACGCATACTCATTGAATGTTTGAGATGTAATGTGCAGATACTTGACACCAGTGGACTGATTAATTCAATCATACTACTTAAGTCTTTCATTCTTTATTGCCTGACTGCAATCTTCTGGCCCGGCTTTTTCAACATTTCTGAGCAGACAAAGAGGACACTGCAGAAAAAACTGTCAGGCTTCTCTTAATTCACTTGTGATGCTTTGTGCGATTCCTAGTTTAAAAAAACCAAACAACAACAACAAAAAAAGACAACAACCCTCAAACAGACTGACCGTGTCGAGGTTCTGCATGATGTCCTGGAAGGACGGGTGCGTCCTGAACTGCTCAAAGAGCTCCCTCTTGTAGAGCAGTGCGTACACCAGGTTAGGGTTGTGGTGTAGAGAGTTGCACAGGCAAGAGTTGATGATTTCCAGCATCATGCGGATGACTTCCTCAATCACACTCAGGTCCTGGGCCTGGAGGGAGAGGGAGGATGTAAAGGTTAATTGGTTTCCCACTAGACTGGTTCCACTTATTATATTGTTTTTAAATGATTGTTTTCTGATAGAACGATCAGCAGGGGGTAACAGACAGATGGCAGAAATGGCAGCAGGGATCAGAGGAAGGACAAAAAAGTAAAGCATGAATGTCAGCCAAGGTCTTAGCAAGTGACAGAAGGGTGATCTTTTAAACCAGATATCAGGTCGTGTTGGCCTGTGTTTCCTTGTGTGGCAAAGACGGCAACTCTAGGCTTCTCAACACATAAACCCAAAAAGTTCATAAATAAGGATTTCCCGATGTGAACATCAACACAAGAGATTGTTGGAGAAATGAACTGAAATCCCAAAGCAGCATCAAAAACAAGTTTGACATTTTAGAAAAATATGCACAGTTGCCCTTTGGTGAAGACAAGATTGATAACATGTAATATCTATGAAGGTTCAGACGACCTCCTCCCAGCTAGGAAAAGGATCTTTCTTCTCTCACTGTGTGACTCCAACTAGCTGTGGCGGCCAAATGGTCGCTCGGAGATCGAGCATGTTGCACCCTCGACCTCCAGTCTCCAAACAATGCCGGTCGGATTCTCAGACAGATTGATAAAGGTTTGCAAGATGACTGTTATTTAATTTACTAACAGAGCCAATTCGCTAACGTGTTGCAATCAGTCTGAGTCGGTCTCCCACAATGAGTGTAACTAGTCTGGGACACGTCTTTTTATAATTGTGGACTTGATTTTACTGGTTGTCAGTGGGTTCCCGTCATATTCCTAAGTAAAAGCAAAACTCTCTTATTTTGTTGTTAAATTAGCATCGTGCAGCACATACGTCACCATTTGAGAAAGAACTCTTGTTTCAGATCTACCAGCTTCTGACTGGATTCTCAATGTAGGTTGTCAATTCTGTTTAATTTGCATTTGTGCGTATGTAAACAGCGTTAACCAGTGCATTATCATAAACTGACAGCATGTAATTGTCAACTTGTCCACATATCATCCCCGTTTCGTGACTGCATTTTATTGCAGTTTTATGGCAGCTGACTGCAAGTGGTTGCAGACCTGGTCCCCATCTTTGAAGCAACAGTTTCAAAGCCAATAAGATTCCAGGTTCTTTGACTTATAGTTGATTTAATTGTGGTTGTTCCCACTATTACTGTGACTGCAGCAATATGATGTTCAATTTTAGTAGCTCCTTTTGCTCAAGAGCGGTGAAACGCTATTTTTGTCCTTCCAAAGAAACAGTTCAACAAATAACCCCCTTTACAAAGGCAATCTGTTATTTTTATAGTTTTGTTTTTGTGCAGATTAAACAAGAGACACAATCTGTGAGCTTGAGAGATGCGGGTGCAACAGAAATATTTTGTTGGCTTTGGAGACGGTCCAACTACCGCCTCCGTGTTTTCAGCCTTTATGATAATCTAGATAAGCTAGGAGAGCTAGCTGCGGACTAAAGCGTCACAGTGATCACATACGTATGACAGTGGTATTAATCTTAACATCCAACCATAAAAGTAAATAAAAAAAAATTATATTTCATTATCCCTGCATTCAAAATGTTCATAATTAAGTGTACAAATGAAAAAGTCCTTCATTTTGTACTTAGCGCGAGTAGTGTGAAGCATTTGGCCACTCTTTTTACTTTCAATAGCTTCAGTTATTAATTAGATGAACAATCTTTTTAATAACTTGCAATTAAAGCAGTCAGTAGGAGAATCCTTTCTACATAGTGAGAAAGGTTTTCAGTGTCGCTGATGTTTTTAAATGATGATAAAGATGTCTGCACCTGTCAACCTTTAAAGTTCGGTTTCATTTACCTTATCAGCGTGTTTATGCTACAGAAACCTTGGACCTTAATCTGCGTGGTGGTAACTCGTAAAACATGCGCCTACTTGTAGCCTTTAATGATATTGAAAATGGCTTTCATCATTAACGGAAGTCTATGCAGCTAGAGGAGTTTGGTTTCATCACACAACCTGCTTTTAATGGAAAAAGGCATGCTTTAAGAAATCTGGCTTATTGTTCTTTAGTTACTTCATTCACAACAATCCGTCTACAAGAGAGACAGACAGACGCCACCGTGATGAGATAACGTCTTTTTGGCGTGTTCAATGGTGGCGCACAACAAGAAAACAGTAGAGAGCGTGGGAAAATGAATAATCTACAGAGAGATAAAAACTTTGGTCAACAGAGTTCATGACTGATTTCCCATGGTGTGACAGCTGTGGGCAGAGCGTTACAAAATCTACCGTCTACGTTTGATGATATTGCAAGATAAGCTCCATAAATGAGAAACCAGAAAAATATAACTCAATAGCACCGTGACTCATCTCAATTAAACCAAGCACTACTAACCACGAGTATCAGTTTCTCTTCACTCCCCAAAAAGACAAAAATATGGTCTCTGCCTTATAAATACTTAAATTTACTGCTTAAAAAGAAATTCTAAAAATCTGCTCAGCGACTTATTTTTTTTAACATATACAGTATACAGCATCTATGTTAGGCCAAACAGAGTCAAAGAGCCGCCTGTGTAAGCAGCTCAGAAGAAGCAGCTAGAACAACAAAATGCAAACTAAGAGAATGCAGGAGTCAGGGACATCCAAAGCAGCTTAGCTTAATGCAATGGACTTCTAATGAAATCAGTCCATCGGTAGTCTGACCACAACTGTAACACGCGACGTAGATTATCTGACAGGTTTTAGTTCGGATCCTGGATCTTTAAAGATCCTTGCATGCCTCCAAGCAGATATGAATAAATATGTGTGCTTCATTTTGAACATTCTTCATTTTGCAGTGTTGTCTGAATATATAAAAAGTATTATAATTACTATTGCTATATGTAAGAATAACATGACATGAAATTTCAATGAAAAGATCTCCCAGTGCCTAGCAAAAACTACCCAAACCAAGAAATGTCTGCAAAAACCAGCAGAGGGGTGAGAGGAGAAAGAGGTGTGCCTTATACCAAAGTGTTTATGAATTCAGTGTGTAATAATGCTCAGTAGTGTGCATTTATCACAAGATGTTTATTCAGCTAAAGTTTGCCCGTCTTGTTTTAGTTGCGCCACAGCAAAAATGTAATTAATGATATAATGCTGATAATATGACCTCAGTCCTTTATGTGGATGTAGAAACTATGACAGTGACAGTGAAACGCAGGCAGTTATGCTGAATACAGTCCTTACTATTCACAACTGTCAAAATGTCTCGTGTGAAATGCGTCATTTTAAGTGGTTTTCATACGTGAACTTTGGGCAATTTTGGGCGACCTGCATTAGGATATTTTCCACAGCTGTCCTTTCTCACATGTAGCACATACAGTAGCAGGAAATAGGCAGTTTCAGTCACGTTTGTACTATTAGGAAATGCTGCGTATTGTAGGTAAAGTATGCAGCATATCACCAAAACCCAACACCATCCAGCCTTTAAGTAGGAATCTGTTGGGTTAAAGCAGCACACGTTTGTGTTCTCACATGTACCTCTGTCGGCAATGGTGCATAAATATATGAATGCTATGTCAAAAACATATTTAACGTCACTTTTCCAAACATTTAACTGACCAGTTCAGCCTGTCTGTCTGAAAACCTTTAATCATTGTCTTTGCTTTACAGGAAGCCTCGCCTTAGACAGTTACTCATTAGAAACTTCCTCTGGGTTTACACGCTGCCACATTTCAGCTTGAAGTAAAATTCCTGTAACGTTCATTAGAATAGGCAGCAGAGATAGCAAAGCTTTCTGATAAAGAAAAAGAAAAAGAAGATTTATTTATATTTCACAAGGTCTCATTCTTGAGCCGGGCACAACGTGAGCTTTTATATTCGCCACAGCACACTTATGCTTAGTGATTCATTTGCATCACTGTTCTGCTGATGACCTGTTTTGACCAAGAATTTGCAATATCTGATTCGAAACAGCAACATGGTGAGACTCCTGCTGCGAGCTGATTGGCCACCGAGTCTACCTCCAATCTGGGCAAATCATCTGTAACAGAACTGCATGTGGTAGCATTTTATATTCCATCTTCGGTGCCCTGCTTTGAGAGAAGTTCTTATCTTATAAATAACTTTGCTTGCTGTGATGCTTTTTTTTTTAATACACATAATCAGTCCCTGAAAAAAAGCCGGGGGATTAAGATAACAGTAAATAGCTGTGTTCTTTTGTGCACTGAAAAAGGTTACTTTAGAAATATAATGGGTTACAGATTATTGGTTGCGCTGCTGAAAATGTAATTACTAGGGCAACCCTTTAAAATTAATTCAGAATGATGTATCTTATTATTTTTTGTTTACGGTGTGATTACTTTTCTACCAAATGTATTTTTTAAACCAGGCAAATCCAGCTGCTGCAGGTTACAGAGGTGTTACAAACAAGCTTCACAGTGAACGGCGATGCTGGAATCTGTGTCAGAAGTGTCAGAAATGCTGAAGTCCAGCACTGAAAGGCATTCTTGTCCAGTGATGTGGCCGACTATCACAGGTGGGTCGCAGGCATGGAAACGGGTTGCTCAAAGCAATGTGCATCGATTTGACTGGAAGAGAACCAAGGAAAAAGAAGGCTCGGACGCCACAGCGTGTGACCCACGCTCGCTGAGCGTGTGACCCAAAGGCTGCAGCAGGGGTAGCCTAGATTTGAGTCCACTCCAGACCACTTCCTGCATGTCATCCCCCCGCCACCTGCTCCTTCTCCCTGCTTTCCTGTCTGCGCTCTACACTTTGCTGTCAAATAAAGACTGTAAACCTTGTAAGCCATCCTATTCTCCAACAGCTTTGCTGACCTGTGTAGCTCTCTGACAGAAGCAAATCAAGCCCAGCAAAATGATGAAGAAGGATTGAACAGTTCTAGATTTATGATCTTTATCGAAAACAATGCATTCAGATTTTGTGAACACCATCAATGCAACTGGTAACGAAACTCTAGTTATTTCGACACACATCCAATAACATTGCTGCACTGATTTCCACAAGCATGATGGTTGAAGGT